GTCTGGGAGTGATGGTCCTGTGCGTGTGGTGGTGATTGTATCTTTAGCGGGGGCAGTGTGAGGGGAGGATCTCTCATCTGCTCTCAATGTTCAATTCACAGTGACCCTACCCATCAGCTCCCACACCCTTCACAAAGATTCCAGACACCATTGATAGTATAGTATGTGGCATTTCATGAGGTCTGGCAAGTGTCTGTTGTCACCAAGTGACTGTCTTTTGGCAAAGGTTCCTGATTTGTCAGCAAGGCAGAGAGAAAAAGATTTCTTCCTGCCAGGCGAGGCAGACTTAAGACATGCAAACCCTTACTCCCCAACCCCTTCCTCATGTATAGTGGGTGTAGTCCACCAGAAGACCTGGGACCTTTTTAATTATAATTAACAAATATAGCTTTAATATACCAAAGACTCAGGTTAAATACATAATTTTGCACATCTACTAACTTGTCTATATACAGTATGTATGATGATACAGTGTCATTTCAGACTAAAAAAAATTGTTAAAGGATGAAATGAAGAACCACTAGTAAATTACACTATTACATTGGATGAATATCAGAAATATCAGACATTATATGATCACAAGGTTTTACTAAAGGACTCACCAAATGCTTTGATGATTAGTAAGAGACACCAAAAAAAAAAAAAAAAATCAGACCAAAATTGAGTTCTGGTGTTTACAAGCTTTGATTTTTGTTTTTATCTTTTGGGGTTGGGGTGTGTATTAAACAAAACTCATCCTAAGTATTTCATGTGGGCAGTCCTGGTACAGTATTTGTTACTATGACAACAAAAACTATTTCTCTGTGGCGTGTTATGCTGCTCTTTGGATTTGATAACCTAGCACAAAGACAAAGCAGTCCACATTGGTATACTGTGTTGAGATGGTGCTTATATAACCTGGCATGGCATAGGGAATGATGTCATAGGTTAGGATTGACTGCCAAAGTCAACCTGACATAGAAATAGTTAGCACAACCATCCACTTGGAAAGCAAAGTCCTTCTCTGCTTTGTTGCTTGTTAATAAGTAGATCTTAAAAACTATCCTTGTTTAGACCTGGTTCTCTGTCTCAGGTAATAGAAATACCGGGTCTGGTTTCCCGTTTTGATTTTTTCAGTTATGAGTTTAATCATTGATTAAAACTAATTTGCTGAATATTCTAGGGTCTGTTTACAGGGGAATCTTTTAAGGATAAAATCCTGTTGGTTTTGGAAATCATTTTATATGATTGGTTCAGGGATCATGATTGGAGTAAAATGAGATACTGAAGCAGGATGCAAACACCCGCCGAGCGCATGATTAGCTCATTAATTGAACACTGCAAGTGTCACCAGGTTGTCATTGAACAGTCCACCAGTCAATCCCATGGACTGACCACTTATATAAACCAGTGTACAGGATCATGATCTACAAAATCACTTAAACTGAAAGTTGGTTTCATTTTTTTAATATAGATTCATGGACTCAGTCTCCCCTCGCTCCTTGTCTCCCATTCAGTTTTTAATGAGAAGTGAAATTGCTAACAAGTGGACACAAATCCCTGCTGTGAAATTGTGTGCTCTCTACAGGGAGTGCAGAATTATTAGGCAAGTTGTATTTTTGAGGATTAATTTTATTATTGAACAACAACCATGTTCTTAATGCACCCAAAAGACTCATTAATATCAAAGCTGAATATTTTTGGGAGTTGTAGTGGGGCTTTTTTAGTTTTAGCTATTTTAGGAGGATATCTGTGTGTGCAGGTGACTATTACTGTGCATAATTATTAGGCAACTTAACAAAAAACAAATATATACCCATTTCAATTATTTATTTTCACCAGGGAAACCAATATAACAGCTCAACATTCACAAATATACATTTCTGACATTCAAAAACAAATCAGTGACCAATATAGCCACCTTTCTTTGCAAGGACACTCAAAAGCCTGCCATCCATGGATTCTGTCAGTGTTTTGATCTGTTGATTCACGATCAACATTGCGTGCAGCAGCAACCACAGCCTCCCAGACACTGTTCAGAGAGGTGTACTGTTTTCCCTCCTTGTAAATCTCACATTTGATGAGGGACCACAGGTTCTCTATGGGGTTCAGATCAGGTGAACAAGGAGGCCATGTCATTAGTTTTTCTTCTTTTAGGCCCTTTCTTGCCAGCCACGCTGTGGAGTACTTGGATGCATGTGATGGAGCATTGTCCTGCATGAAAATCATGTTTTTCTTGAAGGATGCGGACTTCTTCCTGTACCACTGCTTGAAGAAGGTGTCTTCCAGAAACTGGCAGTAGGACTGGGAGTTGAGCTTGACTCCATCCTCAACCCGAAAAGGCCCCACAAGCTCATCTTTGATGATACCAGCCCATACCAGT